CGGATATCCTCGGTTTCCTTTGTAGTTTGCGTTTGGTAAAAGAAAAAAAAAAAGCCCTCTAAAAAAAAAAAAAAAAAAAAAAAAGTACTACATCACGTACGTGTGTAAAACCGTTTCGCGATCAAATTTTCAAGTGAAAACACACGGAAATGCGCTGTGATTTCTCGTGCGATGGTTTTATTGAGATGTGCGCAAGATCGATAATCGAAATAACAACAAATAATTGGGACTGTCCGCAGCGAGGAAACAAAGAGCGAACGAAACGTATTGGACGATAGAGAAATACCGATGAGAGCGAAATATGACAGCACAAGAGGCGGGGCGATGTGCGAGCCGCCGCGGGAAGGAGATGGCTCGGAATAAAACGACCACCTCGTACTATAACCCCTAACGCAATTTCTTCTCTCTCTCTCTCTCTCTCTCTTTCGACCCTCTCGAACCGCGCACTCATAACTCGGTAAAGTGGAATATCTCGAAGAGTCTGTTTCGTTTCGTGTTTCGAACCAATTGTTTCTTTTTTTTTTTTTATGTTTCCTCTTGCTCCTCGGAAAAACTTCACCATTCTTGACCAAATTGTTTGTAAAAACGCTCCTAGAAAGTGATTTAATAACGATGTGTAATGACGATGTTGCTTCGTTCGCGAGCACATTCTCGTTTCTCCGCGTATCATCGTACGATATCCCACATTTTTCTGCTCTTCGATCGCGCGAGAGAAGTTCTTTGTATTATCAGAATAATTGATAATACAGGTATAAATATATTTGCAAATGTTAATGTGGGAAAGAAACGTTCGCGATTAGCTCGTTGATTGATTTTTATCGAAAAGCGGAAACGCGCATTCAATTTTCATCTCGCGGAGAGACAAATACTGCTCATGACAATCGATAAAATGGCAAAACGTCTCCCGGGCAAAAGCATCGATGCCCGGGCATCGCCCCGATGATCGACATATTGCGCAATGTAGCAAGTAACAGGCAATTTCTGTAACAAATAAAGCTAATGCATCAACATCATTACTCAAAGTCTCCAATCGTGATAGCACGGCCGAGATAGGAAAACGTCCCTTTCCGCTCATATTTCACTTCTCTTGAATACAATCTATACCACCTAACTACCCAGAGACTAGAATAGTCCAATGAACGTCCTATTCATTTCACGATAAATGTTATTAATGCAAGCTAAATAAATTATTGCTTTAATTAGCACTTCTGCTGCACGCTGCACCGTCGTTGCGCGTTTCACAAATCCGATAATTGTTTCGAAAACACACACAACACGTTTTTTTTTTTCATACTCGTCGCTGCAAACCCTAATCGCACTCCCAATTTTGTTCTTGTTAAAACATTTGCAATTAGTGAAAAACCGACGTTTAAATGAAGACCTTTTAACTGTCAAAGATGACAAAGAAAGTCGGAACGCAATCGAGCGAGTAACATTCGCCTAAAACGTCCGAAACCGCGCGCTCACAAATCGAAACGTAGACTTGACAAATCCCCGGACGTCGCATTTAACGTTACTCACAATGGAGAACCTATCGGAGCTGGTCAGTCGGGGAGGGGGAGGATGAGGATTAACAAAAAAAAAACCGAGAGAAAAGGGTTCCGCGAATGAAAGAAGCTGAAAATTACTCTCCCGGTCCTGGCAAAATTGAAGCACGAACTTCGTCGACTAACCCCACACGACTAGTCCGTTCGCGCTCTGTCGCACATTCACGGTCCTTTGTCTCCCAGAAACTGATGCGGTATCGCACATGTGTAAAAGTAATATCTGGTATGCCGAGTCAAAGGGGTCTCTCTCCGCGCGCGTTTGAGTTATAAGGTCGGAGCTGCCTGCGTTGAACGCGCAAGCGAGATAAAGAAAGAGGAGGAGAGATAGAAAGAGACGACAGAGAGAGCGCGAGCGGAAGAGCGTCACGCGAGAATATGAAACGGGTTTTCTCTCTTTCCCTCCACGTGTGTATCACCGCCGTATATGCGCGTGTTGGGGGGACAGAAGGGTTGATAAACGTCGACCCTCCCGACTCCAACGTTCCCGCACTCCAGGCCCTCGGTCTTTCCCGCAATCATCTCACCGTCGCCGGTATTCATAAACTACTCAGACAATGTCTGCAACTTCGCGTCGCGAATCGGCGATGCTCCGATGATACGAAATAATAAACGTTCGCACGTCGGCCGAGTTTGACCCTCCGTGTCACACGATTGTGCGTAGAAACGAGAGAACGGTTCCGCTCTTTCCGTTTTACTTTAGAAATTAACGAGCCGAAGTATCGTCGTGTAATTTTATGTATTTTCGCGTATTTATTTGTTTATCAGCTCCGGAGGAGCTTTTTCTTCGCGGCAAAATCGGATTAATCGGGCAAAATCATCG